AATTAATGTCTTTATTAAAACAAATTACGAGTATATCAGCAGAAAAACGGAAAGAGACATTTATTGAAACAATACAATTTTGTTCACATCTAGGTTGCTCTATATTATCTATAATTGGAGATATGCACGTGGGGATTACGAAGTGTGCAATTCATTAACTTTGTTAATTGATTTTTGTTTAATTAAATAATTAAAAAAATAATTAGTGGTTTAAATATCAATGTGTGGCACATAACATTTTCTTTTTATATAATTAGATTTTGGTATTAGAAAAGCTACTTGCTACACTTCATCGCCTTGAATAGTTTTGGACATTGGAAAAGTCAATTCCAAGTAAAAGGATGAATATGACTTATGATAACTAACATGTCTATATGTTGTTGCAATGGTAACATTTGCGTGTAGACGTCCTTATAATTGGATACATACCGTGTGAAGTATTAGCCTTAGTCTAGTATTCTCTGAATGCTTTCAAACACCTTCTAGTTTATTCAATATGCTACTAAATTACATTTAAAGTAAGGTGTATTCTTAAAGCAAGAACTTTCAACTGCTATAAAAGTGCTATTGATTTTTAGATATTCATTTATTCTATAACATAGTCAGATAAAAAACAAAAGTTATATTGTTAAACATTAAAAAACATTAAGAACTCTTTTATAATTAATGAAATCTTATATTCAAGCGGAAGAAGTAGAATTGGTAAGTGAGGCTAGGGGTGTTAAAATTAACCCGGTTCAATGTAATGTAATCTTACGAACTATATTGATGGAGTCACAAATCAATTGGTCTCCAATTATTATGTACCGAGAAATTATTGAATAGTTGGACAACGTCATGTAAAGCAATCCTGCAGTTTAGATATACATTGGGAATATATGTGTTTATGCATCTATAAACAAGTAACAGATTAGCATGTGACTATAGTTAGATCTTGCTGTACATTGAAATCACGTGCTTCTAGGGACAGAAGTCTATTGACAACTTGATAACAAAGTATCGAAGAAAAAGACACTTTTATAGTGCATGTACATGGATTAGGATAAGTGTGGGTGAACTGTGAGAAGAGAGTACTTATGTAAGCTGATTGAGGGACATGGGTGTGGGTAGGTGTTAATTAAAACTAAATTGAATCTAGATTAGAGAAGGATGCAGGTCACTTCGGTGAGGCAGTACATTATATCCATAGTTCTCAAATTGTTATAACGATGTTTTGTTTCTTTGATATTTTACTAATTGTAGAAGCTGTCGATATATTCATGCTGCAAACACAGGGATTGATAGTTACATTGGAGAGGTCGGGTTCGGGTTTTTTGTGGAGTAGCACATATTTATATGTTTCACATGCTAATATAAATATTGGAACTATTGTTGATTACAAAAAACGAGCAACGAGTGCTGTTACGCTTATCAATTTCTGAACTGAACTGACATCTTCAATGTCAGTTGTTAGTTTTTTGAACGTTCTATTAAAATATACATATTGTTAAAAGACAAGTATTAGAAGGTACAAAAGTATGTACATTTGTCTTGGAAATTTATAAAGTGGTTACTTAAATTTGTAGCTTAAAATACATTCCTCTTTGAATGTTCTAACTTCGGCAAAGAAAGGTTTAATTACTTAACTGTCATTATGCATAACTGCTATGTCCTCATAAAATTTCTATAACAATAAACATAAAATTGTTCTAAAATTTATAAAAATAAAACATGTACGGTTGAAACCTAAGATTATGTACAATATATTTATTTGGTTGCGGTGGATATTGGCCTTTAATAGTTATAATAATGACTTCATATTGCTTGACAACAATGTCAATAAGTTCATATTTTTTTACGATAACTAAGAAGCAGGGATTCACAAAAAGCGGTCTGTTCCTAGCCCGTGATGGGCACTGACATATAAGATGGAGTACAGTTTTCTTCTTACCCACAGAATCAGAACCATGACAAAAACCATTACAGAGTAGACACAGTCTCATAGCATGTTTGTTAAGTAGGTTACGCATTAGTTGAAGCAATTGGTGCGTTTGTTTTCCAATTTGGATCTTGAAATGAATCTTCAAATCCGACAGAAAGGTTAAGTTGTCCAATTTTGTTTAACTATACTTAGACGTTTTTATTTAATTGCCAGCTTGACCGTTGCAAGTGGGTTATCAATGTCTAAGAAATGAATGTCAGGGAGCAGAGTGAGTGCTTGTCTTGGCAAGTTCGTTTGCTATGCAGTTGTCCGAAAAGTTTCTGTGTCCAAATACCAATGTGAGCTAAGAATTGACACGCATAGCTAACTCGTTAAGAGAAGCCCGGCATTTTCGAATTATTGAGTTTGTAGCGCCTATGATATTTACATCGGGGATTTTTTTTGCTTAAGATCCATTTTGTTGTGTAGTTAATCGCTATTACTTGTGTCTAGAATATATTGTAATGGTTTGGTAGTCGAAGCGAAATTTTAAGATTGAGTTTATTGAAAAATATGCCACTGCCGACTCTTTCATCAAATTTGAAGCCGTCAGTGTAAATGTCTACCGTGTAACTTGCTACTTAAGTAATAATATATATATGTGAAATTGGTCTCTTGACATATACCACATATACTTAACTCTTATTAAAGTGAGGAAGTGTTAAATATATACAGTTATAGCAATTACCGACAAATATATCGAATACCAGATATCAGAAGTGAGTTAAGAATATTCATACCTACTACAATGTTAGCGACAAAAGTTGTAGATACTTTATATTATCGAATACAGATATCAGAAGTGAGTTAGGCATACTACAACGTTAGGGACAAAATTTGTAGGTACTTTACATTATTTAACACAATATAAAATGTATCTGATGTATAATGATCTATACTAGCTCATATACTAACTTGATTTTCACGAACTAATTATCTAGACAAACTAAATTCTTTAAACCATCCTCTGATCTGTATAAAACAGGTTTCTTTTCAAATTTGAAATTTTTTACTTAAGTGTTTACGTAAATACTGATTTAGCTTAAAGAATATTTGTGACTTATTAAATATAACAAATTAAATTGCTAATTTGGAATTTTTTTTTGTATTAATCTTACGTATACTACTCGTACATAGTATATGCAATAAATAATATAATAAGCAGACAAAAAAATAATAATTATGAAGTAATTAAGCTTAACAAAATTAGCAATGAAACAATTAAATAAGAAAGTCACAGTGCTAACGACAACTGTTGGTTTACGTATCCAAGTACATACGTATATATGATGTGTAAAGATATATAGTAGCATGTATATATTATCTAATTCTTAGCGAAATTTTAGAAGTGATCAAGTGTAATAATATGCACGAGGTAAGCTTTACGTACAAATTGTAAGATAAAATATAAATGCAAATAAGAAACTTTGGTAAACAAGTAAACTAAACATTTTTAGTTCTAAGAATTTGTAAAACAAAAATATTTTAAAAAATACAAGTACACTAATAGTACATAATATGTTCTACAAATTTAACATATATATATATATATCTATATATATATTGTATATACAATATATCAATTAAGCTAATATTGCTGTTGCATTTGTTTGTTTATTATTCAATTTGAGTGACTGTTTGCAACATCAATTCAACTATTTTGAATGCTGAGAAATTAATGAATGACGCTGATTGCTGTTTAGTTCAATTTCAGTAGCTTTGTTTGCTCATATCGACGAGGGTAGCGAAAGAGTTAAGAGCTTTGACAAATAAAAATGTATAACCTATTGAATAACAGCACATTTAATTTCGTATTATTTTATCATATAAACTATAATTCATTTATTGTAATAAAAAAATATGTAACGATATATTTAAGCTGCCCTTGTTTATTGTTGCCTTGTAATACATTTTATTTATTTATTTTTTGTAAGAACTGCAGATTCAGTTGCATGATTCTATTATAGTTTAGAGGGAGGTTGCCATTTAACTACAATTTTAACGGTACGAAACATATAATAAAGTTGCCTATAGCCTATATACCAGATAAGATAAGCTTTGCAGGCTTTTGCAATGATTTTTATTTGAGTTAATATGTAAATAGCAAATGTTTGTTTATTTTAGTGGTGTGAAAGAAATATCAAATTAATAGATATAAACGTAGAGAACTACGTCAATGTGCATATTCACACAAATGATTATAAAAGACTTTAGCTCTTAATTTTAGTTAAGTGGATGTCATACACTTTTATAGTATTTGTAGTGATATACAGCAAACAATACTATATGAACATGATTTGTTAATGTGTTCATTACACTTATGTGGTTCGAGTCAAATTGACTTCACACCTCCCTATGGGAATTATGAGCCAACAAATGAAGGAATTGTAATAAACCATGGTTTGATAAAACTAAATGTTTTAGATACTTTGCATATTCTTACAATGAGTTTCCTTTTGAATAGTGGAACATTATTACATTAAAAATATATACAAATAAATTTTATTTTTATACAAGCATATATACAGAACAACACAACATTTATAGTAAAGCCTTATACAGCAAAATATAAACTTTATATTTAAAATGAATAATAGCCATAATAAAAGCCTTTAATATTGTCATAAAAATTATATTTAATATATAAAACATTGTCTTTTAGTATATATTTTGTACAAATAAAAATAAATGGACCGAAATTGTCTAATTTGTACCCATTTTAACTTTAGAAACAAGTTTTATTTTGTTTTTTAATTAGAGCATTGTTGACTTTGCACAAAGTCAATTATTAATTGTCTATGTAAATTTGAAGACAAATTTATATTTGTATGAACGAACGAATTTCAACACAAATATTTTTAAAATTATATCAAGTTAAAGGTTAGCATTAAAGCGCAGTGCGAAGAATCTTATCAATGTTTAAAAAGCACTCCATGTTTTTTTTACGTCCTCTAATTTAATTCTTGGCTTAAAATTTACCTGTGTTATTGATAAGTTCAATTAGCTTTATATTTAAAAAATATTATAAAAATAAACTCACCTTTTTTATACCACGAAACGCATAAACATATAATTCTCTACCGAAATTAAAACATATTCTATCACCACCATATATTTGATTTAATATATTAGATTCATTTCCACCGGAACCATTGATCATCATTGAGTGCATTGATATGCCAGCACCTAGGCGCGCATCCATTGTTGCTGGTACCGTATACATTGATTGTTGACTATTTATTGTAGTTGCAGTCACAGAACTGTTATCGCCACTTCCATTCGAAGTACTTGAATTGCCATTTGATATTGGTCCATTTGTACAGGTTGTATTACCGTTCACGTTAGCATTGCCACCCCCACTAGTAGGATTTGGCAGTGAAACAATTGAGACACGTACTTGCGGCGAACTTTGACTATTCGTATAGCCAACGCGATTTGGTCGAGAATATTCGGATAATGTTAATAAACGGTATGTGCCTTCACGTGTTACAAATTGCGTCTTAAGGTCATCCTTGACATTCGGATCGAGTTGCGTGGCCATATTCCGGCTAAGTGTAAGGTGGTTTGTGACGTTATTTTGCTGGTGTAAAAGGCTTACGTGAGGGCGGCTATTTTCACTATTTGGGAGTTGTCTTGATTTTTTGTATCCACAGTACTAATGTAAATTTTTATTTTTTTTGAAATACATATATTATATATCACTTAATTAGCACTTTAATTCTCACTAGTTGTCTAGCAAGTGGGCATGGGGGCGCGGCTGCCGCGGTTGTTTTGTAAAATTGCAGCATTTGTTGTTGGGGAATTTTTACTTGTATCTCACATTTTCTTTGCACTTATATTGGCTTCTTCATTCTTCTTTTTTTATAATTTAATTATTAATTCTCTCTAAAGTAGTGATTTCATTTATTTTTACATATAAACTTTAGTTAGCTAAGCACAATTGGTAAATTTAATTATGTATTTTCTTATCTTTACGAATATTTGCACTTTTTCACAAATTCTCCGTCGTTCTCTTTGATTTCTACTTTTATTCTAATTTTTTGCTTTTGACTTTGACGTATGTTTGACGTCTGCCAGTGCACAGCTCGGTACAGTGGATGACATTTGTTGCGATTTTTAGTACAAATAAAATGTGCGTTCATGTATGGATGCATAACAGAAAATATTTTATATATTCTAATTTATAAACTATTTTATAATAGTATTGATTTCATATAACATTTTTGCGTAATATAAAACAATTTAGAAAAAATTATAATATCAAGAATTAAATTGATATACAATTTTATATAAATTTTTTTACTTGTAATTAATTTCCATTTATTAATTATAGATTTGTAATAAGTTATTAATTGATATTGTTATTTTAAATATATAAGTAGTATAGAATTTTATGTAAATTTTTTTAAGAGATTTTTATAAATGTGACATATATAACAGTATTTTAATAATAAAAATTAAATTAAACTGTTGTGTATGTGTAAAATATAATATAATAATATTTTTTTAAATTTATTGTTAACACAAAATTATTTAATATTATTATTATTATTATTATTATTATTATTATAGAAATAATTTTTATTTAAATAAAATTATAATAAATATTATCAAGAAACTGTATAAAGTTCTTAAAGCATTCTTAGTACAAACTATTACAGTATTTATGTTAGTATACAAAAACAATAATATTTGTTTTAATTTATTAAATTTAATATTATTAATTTAACAAAGAAATTATTTTTGTTTTTTTTTTTTGTGCTAAAATTCAAAAACATTTTATTATTTTAAAAATATATTATTAAAAATGTATGTGTTTTTTCATATTAATTAAATACAAGCTGAAGCTTGCATCATAATAAAAATCATATAGGTATTGTAATAAATTTTAATAATAAAGTGTATTTTTTGAATTTCGTTTTGATGATGCAAGTATTCAATAAGATAAAACGTTAGACTTAATTTAATTTATTATTATTTTATTTAATGATATGAACAAAAAACTTGATCTCTACTTCAACGAGAGGGTTCGCTCCCCAACTCCATCATCAGTACTCTATACACTGTCAGTGGTAGTTCCCTATGCAGTTACCTATCTTCGCTAACTTTAACGCTCTTGCGTCCTCACTCATGGCTTAGATGAATTTGTAATCACAAATATTAAACTCTTATAACCATCCCCCTTGATCACTGAATTGGGATTGCAACCGCTCAAGGCGGCTGGGATCTTCCACTATCATTCCTAAGAAGTGATTTCAGTGAGCTCAAGTCACACACTCTGACTTTCGATGCTTTCCACCTACTGTAAAAATACAAAAAAAAAAAAAATAATATGTGAGCACTAGTGATATGTACATAAATTTTTATATTACAATATGCCAATGTCACATTTTTATTAACGATAAAAAATTTAATAAAATAAATTAAGAATTTATTGGAGACTTTATAATCGTAATACAAGTTGAAGATAAATCTTTTGGGTGAGAAAATTTATAGGTGTATAAAAATTATATGAAAACAACGAAGAGCTAAAGAATAAGAATTATAACTCAATAATATCATTGATGGAAAATTTTGAATTCATGATGTATTTGAGACTTTGTTTTCAGGGTAAAGAAGAAAAAATATGTTATGAGGATAGTTTTTAGTAAACTGATCTTTAATATTTTAATTTAACATTTTAAAATTATAATGTTCTATCACAGAAATTAATATAAATTTTATATTAGTTTGTTTTTAAATTTTTTTTTAATTAATTGGAATTGATTACCGATCATACGGATATTGTTTACTAAAGCTCTTAATCTATAAGTATGTAACCATTTAAGTATGTGAATAATCTGTCTGAAGGCCATTCATGCTGCAGTGTTTATATACAAAGTGAAATTAATGGATTTCCCCAAGTTTAGATAGTGTGCAGTCACTGACATCTGTGATTATAAATGATTGAGAACTGGAATATCTTATATCGTTACGTATGATGATATATATTAATAAAAAGATAAAATTTTAATCATTATTATATACAAAAATGTCAATATACTAACAAGAGTAAATACTTAAAATAATCTACAGGGGACTTTCAAGTATGATAAATCTTTCTATTTAGATAATACAAGACAAAATTTTCTATAAAAGGTAACAAGAAGTAATTAAAGAAAGTAGTTTAATTAAAAATATTGATGATTGCATACAATTTATAATGAAAGCAGCTTGTAGGTTAGATTAAACATATATTAATTTATAATAATATTATTTTCTTTTCAGTTCTTTTATATTTTTTATCCGTTACTGTAACCACACTTGCTGCATATTCCGGTGATGGTAAGCCGTGTTGTGGTAGTACAAATGAAATTGGACAACTTTATGCTAATTTTTGGGATCCTACTAAATATTGGCGTTGTGATGCTCTTTTCACTCCAGTAAGCATGAAGTGTGAGGATCAACATGCTTTCTTTGCAAGTAAAAAGATTTGTGTGCCTTGGATAGATTGGTATTGGGAGGAAAAACCTTTACCACCAAAGTGTGAGCAGAGTAGTTCAGTTTTACCAATAAATGGATTACCTGCACTTTCAACTAATTCCATTCCAACAGTTCCTGTGGTATCTTCAATACCTGGCATACCGACTATTGCTAGTTCCTTAAATCCTCCAGTATCTCAAGTATCTGGATTACCATATGTTCCATCGATTCCATCGACTGCTTCAGTTGCGCCTATAACTCCCATATCTGGTTTGCCTGCGATTTCTACTTCACCAGCATTTGTGATTCCAGCTGTTTCACCAATACGTGTGGTTCCATCTATACCAACATATGCAGTTCCACCTGTTTATTCCATATCTGGTGCACCTGTGATTCCGTCGGCTCAAACTCTTTCAACATCACCTGTTTCTCCTTTAGGTGGTCTACCAGTAGTTGCATCTATTCCTATACCTTCTACTCCTGTAACATCGATTCAAAATTCGATTGCACCTGTGCAATATGTTAACCCCTAAATATATACGGAAGTATTTTTAATGGATATTTTGCACTTTTGGGGTGAAAATTTATGCATTAGTATATTATTTAAGCACATTAATTACTGTTTGTTTGTGTTTAAAATTGATAAAAATTATTAAAATTGAGTTAATATACACTGAAAAAAAAATGTTGTGAAATAAAAAAAATACTTAATTTATATTTGAAATTTAGTTTGTTTATTAATTTTATATAGATATTTACATAAACGCAGATTGATGTCCAGAACAACTAGACCTTAATAATTTTTTAAGGTTAGGTTATTGTTGTTATTTGAAAAAACTTTCTCACTTTGGTATGTAGAAATTTTCATAGAGAAGAAAATTATTAATAAAATAATTTTTATTTTTACATATTCTATATAGATATTTTTTAATAATAAGTTTGTTTAAATTGAATCGTAAATTTATTATTTGTATTTTTGATTTTATAGAGGAGTTGTTTTCTAGGTAAATTAATTAATATAATTTTAAAGTAAGCAATTTACAGTGTAAAAAATAACAATATTCTTATTGAGTTGATTATTTGTAAGTTTTTTTACGGAAATTTCAGTTGAGTTCTGGCTGTCACGATTAGACGTTATTTATCAATTAGCAAATTGTGATAACAAAGGTATTAAAGTTTAAGGTGAAGATATGGTGTAATATTGAAAGCAATTCGCGTAATTATGAAAAATATTTTAATTATTTAAATTTTTTAACAATAAAAAATTAATTTTCTTAAAAGAAAGTAAAATAGTAAAAACTAATGGAAAAATGAATGTGGAGTATATTTCAAAAAAAAGCATTCTTTATGAAATCGGATGGAGCTTCAATTAAGTGATTACATATTCCACGAAAAGTTGATGGAATATTTAAAATTAAAAAGTTAGAAAAGTTCTTAATAATATCATATACACGTTTGATTACTCACCTGTTAGGCTTTTTTTTTGACCCGGGAGTCATCTCGTTGACATAATAATTTCTTGACATACAACAACAAAGAGTATATTTTATGATTTAATAACTTTTAAAATTACTTTATATACTTTACTTTATGTAAATATTTTTCACTAAAAGAATGACTTCTTTTTTTTAGTAAATGGAGCTGTGGTTTGCCATATTCTATGAGATTTATTTCATTTAGCATTACTTTTCAGTAACATTATTCACTTTTGAAATAATATCTCATAAATTTGTTTTTTGCACTAATCGAAAACTCTTCAATTTAGTCGAAAAATTAGATATTCAGTGTTATTCTTTATACTTTAAAAGCAGTGTAATACGTTTTGTAAGATTTGTTCGTTATTTACTTTAACTTCGACAGCAAGCCCCTTTTAATTATGTTACTCATACGCACCGTTCAAGACGAATGCAAAACCAAATGCATAATAAATTGATGTTTACTCAAAAAGGAACTCTAAGTAACTCCATTCTTTTCTAAAGGTAATTTATTCAACCAACTATGATCATCAAACAATGCTAATTAATTCAAAACAATGCTTTGAGTAATTTTTGACAACAAATATTTCAGCTTTATGCTGTTACCACTTCATGCCTTACTTTTTCATTATCATTGCCAGCACAAGAAATATATATAAATGGCAACACCTCTCCACAATAGGAATAGAAACTGTGCTCCTTCATATCAGGAAATTTATGAATTTCCATGAAAAGTGCCTGTATTTTTCAAAGTTGTGCCAGTGGTTTAGTGCCTTAAGCCATTTTAGGTTATGGTCTGCATACTTGAGTAATTGCACAGTTAGGTAGACAGGCAAGGACTGCCACAGGATAATATGCAGCCGAAAACTATAGAAATTTATGGCATACCAGCAGTGATTGTGTTGGGAAAATAGTGAGGGAGAAATGAGTGGTTTGCATAAGAAAATTATACGTAAGCATGAAGTGATTTATTACAATTCAGGAATTACAAATTTTATACATACTTAAAATATTTCAAAATATTTTATGGAAAAATATTTCATGACTATGATCTGCATAAATCTACTAACTACAAATGGAAGTGATTGCATTCAAAATCTTTCCCATATCTTCTACATTTCGCTAATGTTTAGATATGGTAAAATCTATGCGTAAGAAACTTGTAGCGATTAGAATAAATTTGGGAGATTATATAGAATTGAAAAAGTATAGAAAATATTATTTAGTGATTTAAATTAAGTCGACTAGTAGTTACATTATAAATAAGAACACCAAATATCATCAAATATTCCTAAAAGTAGAGTATATGTTTATAAAAAATAGACGCTGTCATTTGCTTATTAGAATAAAATGTTATCTTTATTTGGCGATGCAGCCCATATCGCCAAATTTTTTTTCTTCGTTTACAAGCGCACATACATATCTTGATCAATTGTTATTATCACAAAGTTAAAAATTTGTAGAGTTCTCACACGTATTTATATCGAAATGATATATCGAAATATAAATTTCTGTCACTAGGCTTTCTTAGGAGATAAGATCTTTTATTTTCTCCTACAAATGGTTAGCATTTAAACGGATTAAAGATAGAGTCTACCTACAGCAATTACTGCATTTTTTTATAATTAAAAATGGCTGCGTTTATCTCTTCATGAATCTATTCAATCGTATAGAACAAAATTTTATAGTAGTACTAGACGTCTGGCGTATATATAAGAGGAAAAGAAGCGACTCAGGTTATTTGGAACTCTACAAGAGATTGTAACACTTATTGATTATTTAGATGATGTTTCATTAGTTGCTTTTAAAGATAGCTCAGTAAGTTCTACTGTACTTGGTGAAATGGGTATCTGGTTAATAAACAGTCAATTTTTTATAGAATATTTTTCAAGAATGTATGTAGAATACATATTTTTTATAGAATTTATAAAAAATGTTATTATTGTTAAAAATGGTTTATTGAACATCTAAGTGATGTATATTTTTAAGACAATATAGCTGTTTTTCACGATACAGTGAGGTATAAGTATGCTTGATGTACTATTTTGTCTTCTGTTGAAGATATGAAAGACATTATTTAGATAAATGTAAACACTTTATAAATATCGGGTATTTCGGGTTATCCCTAAAACTGAAGCATATTTTAATTTCAAAATATATTTTTGTCTTAAGACTGTTTGTAATAATTTATGAAAATTTCCCTCTCAGACCTTCATTTTTAAGAGAGAGAGAGAGCTTCATTTTACACTCCATTAGAAAATTATCTTAAAAGTGATTTAATAGAATTAATAATATAAATAACATGTTTTATAAATATATAAACATTACAGGTTAATCACGTTGGGTATGTCTCGTGTAGAACACAATGGTGAACCTGGTTGCAAGACCTCCGCTGAAGAAAATCATCTTTACCGTAATACTTGGGACCCAACTTCATATTGGGAGTGTGAACTTAAAGGTCAACCTGCAAAAATAAGACGTTGCAAACCGAATAAGTTATTCTCTGATAAGTATGGGAAATGTGTTAATTGGCAAGATTGGGAATGGACAGAACCAAAAGAACCACCTAGTAGACCTTAAAAATTGAATAGAGTAATCAATTATATTTTACTTAATAAAAAATTAATATAATAAGTAAAACACTTGTTATGTGATAGTTACTAATATAATTAAGCCAACTTAAAACTGTATATATTGCTGTAATATATTGCATAAACTTATGAATATTGCATATTATATTTCGAAAGTACTTAAAACAATAACAAATTTAATATCCATTTTAAATTAGCAACCATAAAATATTTTTAATTAAATTCTAGAACATTTCATTAAGCAGAGATGCGATGCAGCAAAAATTGATATGCGACTTCGCATACTAACACCCAAAAATCGTAACAATAACTATTTCCCAACATCGTCAGACTGATGTGGCAGTAAATGAGTTTAAAAGTCGGTTGGCTGGTGATGCATGAAAGTCTAAACTCATATCACAGAGCAACAACAAACAACAAAAACAACAAAAACAATTGCATGCATCAAACTGTCACTGGCTTCAAATTTTGTGACGTTCCAAATACACAAATAGTTAAAGTCAGGAAATTGCGTTATTTGTCTTTACTGCTGCGCCATCGCTGGAACAGTTTGTCTATTATTGTTACTGTTATATGTATTGTTGCACTGCAGTTAACTAAATGTCAAATAAAATTAAAGTGCTGGTATCACTAACACATTTGAAGCACTCAGATACTGAGCTCCGATACAAGATACAAATATGTACTTTACAAATACATTAAAAAAGTATTATTTTCTTCTGCGCCATTGTTGCTTTTATGGTCACTTGGGCGTTGTTAAAATATATGGATAAAAATTGCAGTGGTACTAGAAACAGAGGGGGAAGTACATCTGTGCTAAGTAAAAACGTTGTTTTGCTTTAGTTCGTGTGGTGCAGTTCTCTGGCACATTTCTGATGGCAATTTGCTAATCCTTTAAAATTAAATATGTTTAAGTATTTTTGTGATTTGTTTTAGACGTCACAGAGTCTAACATTTATCTAATAACTATCTGAAACTGTCATTGTAATTAATATATAATCAAATAAGGTGAAAGTCACTCATTAGTCATGTCATTGATTGAAGTTAAAATTATAATACTATTATATGTTCTTTAATACAAAATTTGTTTTATTTACAAAATCCGGGTACTTTTTGAGCAGAAAGTATTATATCACTTTAAGTTTAATCAAAGACATAGATGAAGCGTTTCGAACCATTATGAAGTTATATGTTATGACACAATTCCGATTTTACGTTCGATACAAAAGAGGATTGCATTTTCTTCACCATTGTCATTTGTACTAATACTGAGTGAAGAGATTTAAAAGTAAGACATAAAGGATTCCACTTCTAAGTATTATAAAGTGATATGTTATGAAGTGTTATGAGGCAATAAACGACATAGTGAAGTGATCCAGGGTTGAGTTCTGTTCGCATTGCCATTGGTATTTATAGGGACTAAACTAAATCTTTAGTGATATGTTAGTAAAAGTGAGATAAGGTTGAATTCTATTCTTATTTTCATTAATATTCATAGTCATATTTATGAACTAGTATTATATCTATAAAATA